TGAACTTTTTCATGTTTTCTTTCGACTTGTAAAACAAGTTTGCGCAAGGCCTTAAACACCTAAAACAAACTGCAGCTTGTCTTCACTGATCTCCCCACCTCACCCCCACCACTCCGGGCGCTTCTCTCTCCCTCCCCCTTAGCTGTTATTTGAAGCACTTGAATAGCCACCCGCTGCCCCCGACCCCTGCCTTTTGGGGGCTCTGCGCCGTGGGCAGGACTCCCTCCTGCAGGGCGCATACTCTGCATTCAGGCGCCCCGAGTGATGGAGGGCAAGAGAGCACCTGTAACCCCAGTTCACGCGGTGGTGCCACATCGCCAGGTGGCGCGGCCCACAGTGTGGGGAGACCTCAGGGAAGATGAGCGGCTGTGGGGGCCTCTGAGGATTCTAAACACAGGCTCTGGCCAGATTGGGATCTCCCCGACCTGGAAATCAGGGAACCCACAGAGTGTAGATCTAGTCTGGGGTCTCCTAAGTTTGGATTGGGTGGAGTTGCCACTGACCAGACTAGAACACAAATGGGACCAATAGGTTTGGGTAACAGATGAAGAGCTAGTTTGTGCAGCATTGATGTTTGAAGTCCCCGAGGGCATTTAGCACTTAAGTGGATGCAATTCTGGGAAAGACATTTTTTGAAGTAGTTATGAGATGACAGCACTCTTTATTTTTATTTTTAAAAGAGAAATAATTCCTTAAGTCATAAAACCTTGCTTCTAACTAGGGTATTGATAAAACCAGGAATAACAGGACATCCTAAAACATGGACTTGCCCAGATTCTTCTTTCCTCTCCTGCTTCCATTCGGACACTTCATTCAGATGACCTGACAGTTTTCTACTTTCAGAACGGTCTCTAGTCACGTCCCGTAGAACCAGCCACTGGCCTCGTTCGGAAAGGATCCTTAGTAACTAAAGCTGTCAGTGATTTTGAAGGCAGACGTGTAGTTCTCACTGTGTGGACAGGAATTCACATCAGTAGCCCAGTCACCATTAAGTTGGTGACTGTCATACAAGAAAGAGTTCCTAGGTTTTATGCTAGAACTCTGGGCCCGCACGTGTCCACCGCAGCCCTGCTGTTCTCAGAAAGCATTGCCTTTTATGTTAGCGTTGGGTCATATGTCAGTTGCTGGTGACCACAGTTGGAACTGAGAAGCGTTGCATAAATCCTGCCTGTTGGAAGTGGTGAAAGGTGCCGGTCCCTACTTCATCGGTCCTGGTTTTAGGACATTCCATTCCCAGTGCTTCTTCCATGACTCATGGCTGCACTGATAAAAGAGACAAAAATAGAGGTTTCTACCTAGAACCCTACTTCTGGTCTTCGAATTTTTATTACTTTCCAATCCCTGTTCGTTCTTTTCACTCTCTAGAAAATTCACGTAAGAAATGACTTTTAGAAAGTCTCTCAGTAGTCATGACATTCCCCCCCCACCTCCCCACCGTTTGGCAATTGCTTGTCCTCAAATTAATCATTAGCATGCTCTTTTATTGTTTTCATTTTGATCTTTTGTTAGCCTGCCTACAATGAATATTATAATATAAACTCCACCTCTAACACTAGAAATAGCCTGATTCAGTTGTGTTATGGTAACTGGACCTGCTGAATATCAGCAGATGTTGTGGTCTCATTTCCAGCCGGCTTGAGAGCCAGTTAGGGGGACCAGCACCTACCACCCTTATACTAACAAAGACTTCATGATCCTCCCACTCCTTTCCACAGCTGCATGAGTTGGAAGATTTTTTTTTTTTTTAAACCAAGGGAACTGTATTTATTAAGTGATATTTCTTTTTCCATTTTTATTAACCAAGGGTCTATAGCTGGTTCTGAAATCAGAACATGTGCTTCAAATAGTATGAACATTAAATTTGATTTCTCAGGTGGTTGACGTTGTTAACCGTGTACCTTTACTGTGAATAGAGAATTCCATTAACACTTCTTAAAAATGAGAATAGTGTGAAGTCCCTGGTCGGTGCTCTTTCTCTCACCTCCCTACCTCCAGCCCCCAGTTACAGACTCTGGATCCCTGTGGTCCTAGGATCTCAAGCTGAGGCTATGATCTATACCTTGGGAGTTTGTAGTTTTATTAGCAAGCTTTTTTTTTTTTTGATGAAAAATAATTTAAAATATCCACTAAGATGAATTTTTATTAAGACAAGTACCACCTCCCTCCCCATTTGTGGGGGAACGTAATAGAGAATCCTTCTTGCTGCCATTCTTGGTCCTGTCTTACCCGATGTGTAGTCGTGGAGACCCGGGCTCCTGACTCACCACCCTTTAGCCGGTGCGTGTATTACTAAAAGGCCTCCCTGTTCCTCTCTCCCATCTCTGAGTTTTTCTTCTCTGCTGGCTCTGTGCCTTCCTGAGCCTATGAGAGAGAAATAAAAAGCCTGGAAAATAAGGGAGTAACCGGCCTGCATGACCGTGTTGTCTGTGAGGGTCGTTTGCCTCTGAAGCTGCCCCCTTGGAGACGCTGCTCTTCTGCCCCACTGTCGCTGCTCCCGATCTGGCGTCGCCTGTGCGTTGCACTGTATTCCTAGGTTTCCATGTTCAGGAATTGTTTGATCCCTACCTGGAGACAGTGTATATATTCATGTTGGTTTTGTTTCTTGACTGCTGATCGTGCGTCAGCTCCTACCCCGCTGGGTGAGTTTGCTGGGCAGATGCTCCCGAAGAGAACATTTCCAAATAATTGGACGTGGTTGTTGCTGCTGAGGTTAATATTTGACAGAAAAGAAAGTTTTGTTTAACCAGATAAGGACTTGGGGTCATCATTAGTGGACATTTATATTACTCTGTATTTTTAAAACATCAGTTTTGTATAATTGCACTGTCAGATAGTATCTCCAGTTTAGCAGAGAGACAAGGTAAAAACCAAACCAGTTTATCCACAGTGAAAGTAGGAGGTGGTAGGAGAAATAATGTAACCAAATTCATTTTATAAAAATTGTTTTTGTAGGATGTATATGGAAAGATACGAATTTATTGTATCTCAAATACAATATATATTCATGGTCAGGATTGGGTATAGTAGTAAGCAGTATTAGACATTGACAGTATTTTAACAAAATTTTTGTTTTAACCCTAATTTTTATACTTATGCACTTTTTTGTAAGCCATTTAAAATCCCCCTTCTTTGGGGAGGAGATAGCCAAGAGTATGTTATGAACAAAAACTTGGTAAAAACCTCGCCTTGTGTGATGAGCATTAGTGAAAAGGCGGGTTTACATGAGTTAATTTCTAGTATGTAAGTGTTTTGTAAAATGAGAGACGTTAAAGGGAGAATTGTAATTGCCGCTTGTTCACAGTGGTGGCTCGAGAGCTGGGGCCAAGTGACCAAAAACAGCAGGTTCAAGTTGGACAGAGAGGGTTTAAGTTAAACATCAACCTATATAAATTTCCTTTAAAAATCTTGATGAGGTACTATTGGGGCAATAAGTGCTTCTCACTGGACAGTTAAAGAGCAGGTGCCACCAGCCACCACTCCTCAGGATGTTTGACTTTGAAGGGGAAGGGCCTTTGGATTCCAAGATCAAGGCAAAGAAATGTGGGTCAGTGAGTGGACCGAGTGCTGAGCCAGCTCCCTGTGCTGGAGCTGCGGGCCGGTGATTCCTGGACCCAACCGGCAGTGCCAGCAGGCCGCTCAGGGGCACTGCGGAGCCAAGGGCTTGCACTCAGTGACCCTTGGGTCCCTCTCGTCCTCATTTGTATACTGTTTTAATTTTAGTGGCGCTTTCCATCGGCTTCGCTAATTTCCACTAGAGCATCCTTAGGAGAGTTTATGGCACGTGTGAGACACCGCAGTGTGTGGCTTCCGTTTGTGCCTTTACTACTCTCTTTGTTTAGTTTGGACCAAGGAAACGGTGTTTTATTAGCACATTTTCATTCTCTTGGAAAATACCGTAGAACCTCCTTTATTTGGGGGTTGTGAGTTTAGACGAAAACAGCAGTCAGGTGTCGGCAGATGCGGTCACACAGGCCATGAGGTCTGCCCCTTGTCCTCGAGCCGTTCCTGGGCTAGGAAGCTCCTTGAATTCCTCTCTTCTGTGAGTGTTTATATAATCATGTCTCTACTGTTGTTTTTGGAGTGAATTTTATGGTACCCTTCTAAAATGGATTTATCCTGTTTTCATCTGAAAAGACATCATTTTCCCATCTGATTGCTTTGTTTTTTACTTAATAGCAAGAAGTAAGGGTTGTTTGTTATTGTAGGAGTCGGTCTGTTGCTAGAGTTGGAGGTCCTCAGATGTCAACTAGCCCAGCCGTAGTCTGCACGATGCCTTGTACAGAGGATTGGAAGGCAGTTGCCCAGCCTTTGCTGGAACACTTACAGTGATGGGAAACTTACTACCTTTTCCAGTGTTTTAACAGTTTTATTAAGTAGGTCCTGCCGTTTTTAAGCCAAATTGTGCCTTCTGGTTACTTATACCATCAGTCCTAGTTTTGTTCTCAAATAGTCCATGACCAGTCTTTTCCTCGTTGACAGCCAGGAGTATTTCTCTCCTCTTCAAGCTTTAATTTTCTCATCTATAAAATGATCATGAACACCAGGATCTGGTTTTCTCACCAGGACCGAGGTAAAAAACAACTGAGATCATTGAGACCTTAGGCAAAATCCTTTTCATGTCCAGCATATTACCATCTTAGCTTTATCTCTGGTGTATAATGTGATGGGAAAACAGCCGTGTGTGTCCATTGGTTTGGGAACCTTGATGGGTATTTTCCAGTTGATGTTCTTGCCATTAACAAATGAATTAATTCATCTCTTCAGTCAACATGTATTAACCATTCACTATGTGCTTGGCACTGCTTGGGCCTATAAGTCAATATAAAAGCAGTGAGCAAGACAGATACCGTCTCTGCCTTATCAAGGCTTAACTTTTCTTCCCTAGATCTTTTTACTTTGAGATATAAATGCTTTCAACTGTTCAAAACAAAATAGTCTCCTTTAACTCAAGTGTTTTTGGGTTTTGGTGCAATATTTAACAGTTTGTCTTTGCTTTGCAGATATATGGAGTCTGGGAGTGATCCTTTTCATGCTGGTGTGCGGTCAGCCACCCTTTCAAGAGGCCAACGACAGTGAGACCTTGACAATGATCATGGATTGTAAATACACAGTACCGCCCCACGTGTCTAAGGAGTGTAAAGAGTAAGTAGAAAAAGTGGGGGTACATTTTAATTTTTGAACTTAATATTCCTGCTCTTGTTAAGTGTTTTGGAAAGTTAACCCCAGAATGTGATTTTTTGAAATTTAATATTAGAGTACGGAGTATATTACTTGATTTCTTACATATGCCAGTTTTTAAGAGACTCATCACGTGCTTCTCTGTCTCCAGGAGTGGGGTTACTTTCACTTGAAATGAGACATTACCACAAGAACTACTTCTCTGTTTGCATCAGCAACAAGCGTGACCACCTGGAATCATTCCAAGTCCCAGAGAAGAGTTAGGGCATTTCTGAAACAGACCATCAACACACCATTTTAGGATTTACGTAGTGTGTCTCCTAATTTTATTCACTTTCCCCTGCCCCCCCC